CATTATTTTTTTGTTACATATTGCATGTTAGCTTCTCATCGTACAACATTATTAATAATAATACAAAGACAATGATTGTAATATGCATTAAGTAAATGAAATTTAGAATTATAGTTCATCAATTATGAAACTAGCAATAATATTGAATGAAGCTTGTAAACTTGCCACAAAGGTTCATCAACATTTAATATCAAAGTATCAAATATTGTAGCATTTGCATTTAACACTTCATTGATTTCAATCAGAGCGATGACATAGTTTGAGACAATAAGCATATTTTATCTTATTAAGATAAATATCATATTCAAAGAATTATTGTGGTGTTGACTTCATTTCACTTCTCTAACTCGATGATTCACTTTAACATTCATGGTAGAATATGTTTTTATGAGCCCATTTTGGCAGAGATGAATGATAACATCATCTTGTATAAATAAATACTTATTATGACAATTTAAACAATGTTATTTAATCTAGTTTTATAATGTTTCTTCCAATTATTATAATGAATAATAAATAAATTATTCCACTCATAATTTCATCTAACAAATCTTCTTTACTATAAAATAGATAATACATCCGCTCATGATCACTGCTAATATCTTCAATAAAAAAATATACTAGGATATATGTTGACATCCGTTTTGATATAACCTCATCATTACCAAATTTATTTGATCTATTTAGTTTAAGTAAAATATAAACCTTGTTAAGTTCGACATAACACTATTAATTGTGAGTTATCTACCTAATTGGGTCCAGGTATCATATGAACCTAACTAAATCAAATAGATCCATTATTACTCAATAATTTAACTCAATCTAACTTAAGTACCATAAAATTCTACTTAAGTTATATGTGAATTTCTAGTCCACTCATATATTATCTTAACTCCTATCACCCTATTACACACTATGTGCACCTTCAGTCTTCTCAAACCATTCATGTACTAGGATCACTTGACATAGCCTAGTGCACCTTAAGTAGAACATATCTAGTCTTTAGAGGTATGAATACAATCAAAATACATTATTCTCATTATCCAACAACATTCATGTCACTGTTGATCTTAGAACTTATAATTTGTATCACTTCTATCATCACATACACTTTGGGTAGGGATGATGGTGGTTTTACAATAAATCACTCAAGATGGGTGTACCTAGTACTCTTATAGTATACACAGACGGTGTAAGGTGGAATTTGAGTTCATGAAATGGAATTTGATGGTGGAGAAGACCTCTTGACATATTCTTGAGATGATCAATGGGAATGAATCCATAATAAAGGTCTAATTTTAATGTGAAAGGACAAGAGAATGAATGTACTGAGTAAATTTTTAATAAAAAATTAATGTACACTTAGAGAATATAGTAGTAAGAATCCTCAAAAAGCCATTATGACATAAAATAAATATTTATGAAATGACATATGTCAATGATGTCCACTAATGTGCTATTGACTCTGTCAAATAATATGAAGGTCAGCATACGTTCGACATTTCCTACTAATAATTAAAATAATTGAAATTGCATATTAATGCAGTGACATGGGACACCATGTTATGCAATTAATAAAATGTATGGTTTGAATATCTATCAAATTTCTATGGTGATGAAGTGAACTTTGTAAGAAAACTAATGTTAACTAATCCTCATTAATGATAATTATAATAAATCTCATCAATACTAACAATTATTATGTATCTTTGAGTGTTATGGAGCTTTCAAACATAATACCTAAGAGAAAGAGTTACTCAAGATCAATGTCGCAATGATTCCTAAAAAGAGTTACCCAACATTGATGTTGTAATAATTTTACAAAAAAAAGAGTAAATTTTTAATAAGTAAAACTTTAGAGGATCATGCCACATATAAGGTGCATAAAATACTAATGAACAACATAATTTTCATTGATAAAAATTAATGGGGATTGAACATTATCCATTAAATTTCATAATGTCAAATATATGGTATATGAGATACTAATCAACAACATGAATTTCATGGACAAAAATTAGTGAGCGTTGGATATTATCCATTAAATTTCATAGTGATGACAATAGTGAACATCAAAGTTGAGTGTTGAAGGGTGATTAGCTTAGTTTTTCTCCTGATAAGGAATACCTAACAAATTAGAAGATGAATAATAAACATTGATGTGTAGAGGATTTTGAATAATAATTGTAGATAAGCATTAAACAATTATCAATAAAGAATGTCATAAGTTAGATGATAGAGGGTTATCAACTTTATCAACCTTCTAAAAAGTGTGTAGACAAGGAAACTAAGAAGACAAGCATCAAATATTAGTGTATAACTAGTTCCAGATATTAATTATTAGCATGCATCAAATGATGATCAAGGGGAAACATTAGAAGTTGAGAAATAATGGATTCCAGTTTATTCATTATTTTAATACTAGAGAGATATAAAGGATGAGTATTGGACCCTGGTATTTGGTGACTATTAAGCATATACCATGATAATTGTTGGATGATGGTTAATGAGGAATTCTAGAAGTTGTATTGCTAGTAGGAGGATGTCTTGGTTGTTCTTCTAATAACAATCGACTAATCAACTAAGATGATGGGCAATAGATGTCAATAACTAGTTAGCATTAGAGGTTGATGAATTTTGTAATGGGATATTTTCATGTGTTAGATGAAAATAAAAAGAGATTAAAAGTTTTGCAAAGATAGATGATTGACTTGACCATTCTCTAAATAAGAGAGTTACATAACTTGGAAGATGTGTGTTCTAAGATATCAATAGCTGATATACATATACCATTTATCTGTAGCATGAGTCGACCAACATTTGACAAAGAATTTCGAAATTATGGGATCATGTGGAATTATAATGGGTTTTCTCTTGATATGATAAGAGATTGGTTGATTGGGAGGATGAGCATAATATTTTTATGGCTTTTTAATGTTAGGCATCAGTTGTTTATAGCATTGGATGATGAAGGACATTCAACTTCATCATTCTCCAAATAATAACTAGAGATCAAGAAACTAAGAAGATGAAAGTTGGACATTAACATCATTATTAAAATATTGGGGATGATCGAAAAAATAAAATTTAGATGACATGAGGTGACTTTATCAATGGTTCTCCAAATATGATGGGAGCTTGGATTACTAAGATAGTATTCATGGGATGTCAATCATTCAAGGATGTTAGACATAAGTTGTGAGCAAGTGCTGATTAAAAATTTATGGAGAATGCCAAAAAATGTGATAATGGCAAGGGGCTGACTTGATTGTTCTCTTGATAGAAATAGGATAGGGCGACAGAGAAGATGGATGTCAATGGCTAAGTGATGTGGTTCACTGGCTTACATTAGGCGATGATCTATGGGGATCGATAAACATTAAACAACTAAGTTTTTTGTTTAATTCTTCTCATGATAATAGTGAAGATCAGGTAACTTAGAATATGAATGTTAAATATCAACATATAACATTTTTTATACATTAGGAACATCGAACAACAATCGGTGATGAAATAAAAGTCAGATAATATAAGGTGACTAGATTAATGGTTTCCTAAATATGATGGGACCTTGGACAACTAATATAGTAGGCATGGGATGTCAATCATTAACGAATGTTGGATGTAAGTTATGAGTAGTGACGAGTGGCGATTGAGGAGGAATGCCAAAAGATTTAATAATTTTGGGAGGTTGACTTAATTGTTCTCTTGATAGAAAGAGGGTTGTGTGACATGGATGATGGGCATCATTGGCTAAGTCAAGTCAATCATTGGCTATCTACCTGTGAAGATAAATAGAAGTTAAGTAATTATCAGTTATTGGCTTGATTATTCTCATCAAAAAGTGGTGATCAAGCAAGCTTGAAGACAAACATTAAATGTTAATGCATGGAATATATCATACATTAGTAGACATTAAGAAATGATTAATGATGTAATGAAAGCTAGATGACATAAGGTGACTATTTCAATGGTTCTCTCAATATTATGGAAGCTCAGATTATTAAAAAGGTAGGCATTGGACGTCAATTATTGACGAATGTTGGATGTAATTATGAGCGAGTGTAGGGTGAAAATTGGTGGGGAATGTAAAAAAAAAAAAAAAAAAATCAGTAATAGTGAAAGGTTGACTTAATTGTTCACCTAATAAAAAGAGGATTGAGCAAAAAGGAAGATGGGTGTGAGTGGTTAAGTGATGATGGTTCTTGGTTAGCATTAGGTGAATGTAACAATCCAAAAAATACGAAAATATATTTTAAAATAAAATATTTGAATTTTTGTTTGAATTGGAGCACTGCGGCATTGAAACTACAAGCACTAAGGCGCTAATCCTTGAGCACAATAGAGCAAGAAATAGGTATATAAGAAGTTCTATCATGATTATTATACATATTATTTTGACCAATAGCTATAGATTATATATATTGACCATAAAAATGTAATGATATTTTTAATGCTGTTATTTATTTTCTTTAATGCAATTAATCAATTTTGGATGTCAAGTTAATTTGGTCGAATTGAATGATTATTGATTGTTAACTAAAAGAAAAATAAGTAGAAAAGATAATAAAAGGGAAAAGAAAAAAAAAATCTTCCATTTTAAATCCCGGGGTGTGACAACAGCAACCAATGTGGAACAAAAAAAAATAAAAAAATACAACTATTAGTTGTTGTCTTATTACTTCTCATGATAATAGTGGAGATTAGGCAACCTAGAAGATGAACATCAAATGCCAATATATGGCATATATTAACATTATTAAAAAGTTTGTACAGAATTAAATTAACATTTCAACTACACTTGATAGAAATGAAAAAATTTGTACAAAAAGAAACATACAAAATTGCCTTATGAACATTTAATACACTTTTATATCCATTTTCACTCAAAGCCGAACTAGCCCATCTAACCTGTTCTCTAGAATAAAAGGTAGGTAAGGAAGATATGAGTTAATAAAAAAAATTAACAAAAAAATAAGGAAGATAGGAGCTAATGAAGATAACAGGTTTGCTATGTTAAGAAATATTGATCTTTGAATTGGGTCTCTTATGAAAAAAAAAAAAAATCTTAATATGAGCAGAATAAAAAACAAATAATTATATAAAAACTTACAAGAACCAACATAAAAACATGAAATCAGGGGAGAGCAGATTATCATGTACACGCATCATAAAATTAGCTCCATTATGATGCAAAATATATCAGAATAATCATGGGAGGCATAATTTTTTTTTCAATATATTTGTGCTTTGAATTCAACTCTCCAGCCTTTATTCATTACGAATCAGACTAGAGTTGCCATAATCTCTGGTTCAATCTCGGCACTTTGTCCCTCATCAATGACTCTCTGTTCTTTGCCGTCGAGACCTAAAGTGTTTACTTGAGTTCCAGGTAGTGGAAAGGTCAGATTGGTCATGGGAACTATCATGTTGCTAGAATCCTTTGAAGACTCTTCTGACACCATTGTAAGTATCCGTTTAAGCTGAGATCTGTGGCAGACGATTCGACCTTTGCTCCATCCAGGAAAATGGAAAGACTGAGATACATTGTCCCTAAGAAATGAATATGCTGCCTTTGCAACAGGCAAAGCCCTTGCTGCTGTACTTTTCTCCATCACTCCCCGTCTGCATTTGACATCAATGAATATCATCATCAGGCACAAAATGTATGTTTTGGATTATGAATTTAAACTCAGTTTTATAAGTAGAATATTGAAATTCCTTATTTACTTCATCTTTGTATTTTATGGCCAGAAGAAGGCAAAATTCAGATTGGTAAGAACTATCTTTTCAACTATCAGTAAAAAAGAAGGGGGGAGAGAGAGTAGATTAGAAACTTACGCCACCACAACAGATGCCAGATGAGGAAGATCTTCTCCACTTTGAAATCTTTCATGAAGGTCATTAAGCCAAACAGATACTGCTGTAAGAGCACCACCGACAGACATCCTAAGTAATGAATTATAAGTTATGGGTATATCAAAAGATTAAAATGATTCTCATATTTTTTTGGTGTGTCTACTTTAGTTCAAGACATTACATTTTCAAGTGTTCAATTTAGTTTCTCAACACATCAAAATGAAACAAATTTCGGCCTGCTGTCTTTTTTTTTTTTTTTTTGACGAAAGCTGCGTAAAAGCTTCAATAAAATTCTACGACATTTTAGGGTTAATTTATTAGTTAAGATAGTACTAAGTAGAGAGATTAATCCAAAAAAAATTCAATATGCCCTAATGAAAAACTTCCCTCCACTTTTTTCTGTCTATAGAAATAATAATTTTGACAGCAGCAATAATTTTAGATTAAACATCTGAAATAATATAGCATTAAAATGAACACACCTAACAAGTCAAGGGACCACTTTGATCATTTACTTATTAAATTATGCATCATGCCATGTTCAAAATTCTAAAAAAGGCTACAAACAACAGCTAAAATAACAGCAAAAACAAATACCTATGCACATCAGCAGACCACACAAGCTTGCTTCGACGATAAAGCTCTGGGAAGAGTCCTCTTCCTGTTGCATCATGCAGTACACGTGCAGCACGTGCCTTCTGGCCAAACCACCATAGTGCATCTAGAAGAGTGTTGTAGAATCTTAAACCCAAACTACAGCCAGCAGAGTTGTATTTGTCAAAAACATATTCCACCATTTGCCAGTTAGATTCATCATCATAATCACCCTTGATCAATAAGCTGATCACTTGATGAACATTCGAAACCCTGTTTGATTTCATTTCATTAAGAAGTTCATATGCATCATCCCACCTGATAACAAGGCACACTCATCATACAAATTGTCTACTACTTATAAGATTCTGAGATGAGAGTACATTCTTACAGCAACATTCAAAGCCATGCTATTATCTGGATAGAGTTAGCTTAACTTGGAGGCACAAGACAGATGCACATAAAATTTACCATCAAAGAAATGAATGCAGCCAATGAGATGTGTCTCATCCATCAAAGCCCAGAATCAATCATCTTATTGTTTAAGTTCCATATTCATTTCCAAATGTCCAACTGCTGGCGGAAGAAAAGATAAACACTGTACTTTGCATCTAAACTTGAATGTTTTCCATCTAACTGAAGCCACGAAATGAATTAATTGTCAAAAATCCCGTTCACTATAATTTTGTGGAATGTTATGGACCAATGAAATCATCCAGTGCTCATTTGGTTTCTATAGAATAAAAGATGTTTTGAAAAATGATTAGTCTATTAGATTTTATCATTTAGTTGGATGCAGATAGAACTCAATACAGCTCTACAAACATCTTCAAAATCCTTTAAAAAGTGCTCATTTCATTTAAATCAGACTTTCCAAAAGCATGCTTTCTATCTAAAAGCAAACCAATAAGCCCTTAGCTTGGTAATGATGACCTAGAAATGACATTTGAAAACAATTCTGGGACTTTAAATGAAAGTAAGAGTTTACAAAAAAATCATTAAAAACATTGCATAGCAAGCCGATAGATGAACAATCAGGCTCCAAACATGCTGGGAATCCTCTAGCAGAATTTGGCTGAAAAGTTCTACAATTTAGGAAATATTTTGATGCTGTGATTGGTAAAGGTAAAGAAAAAAGTATTATAGCTTGTAGAATCGGTAGGATATTGATAAGAAATGAATACAATTTTCTCGAAATCAGCGAATGACAATAAGAAATTAAGAAGAAAAAAAGACCAAAATTATTTTTATTGCAAGATATAAGAAAGAAATTAGCAAGATACAGTTGGATATTTAATTGAAGAGGAAGATCCGGCTCTCCCAAATCCCTAACCGGCACCTAGAACCCTCACAACCTAAGAAATTCTAATTTCAATAAACTCTAAACATAATCCTGAAATCACCCTATTGATAGCCATAAATAGGCTCCCCTAATTCTCCCCTAATTTTGAATTCAAATCAACCATCTTTCCCTAAATAATTCCCTCCCAAATTTCAATTCAAATCAGCCATCTTTCTCTAAATAAATCTTCTTAATTTCCATCCAATCAAATCCGCTATTTTTCCCTAAATAAACATTCTTAATTTCCTCCCAATCAAATCAATCCTCTTTCCCTAAATAAACCTTCATAATTCTCTCCCAATCAAATCAATTGGTTCCATCAATACTCCCCTCCAAAGACCCACCTTGTCCGCAAGGTGGAAAGATGGCTCCTTCCTAATTTCCTCATCATCACAAATTATCAGCACCTAAACAGTTCGGTCCTTACACTTGTGCCCTAGTGTATACCTATCCTCACATCTGAAACATAGCCCCTTCGCCCTCTTTTTTACTATAACTCAATTTCTATGAGCTTCTTAAAAATTTCCCCAAGTCTCCCTCCTACAATCTTCTCCTCGGGGTCTCCTTATGAATACTCGATGTTGGCTCCTCTAATGCCAAAATGGTAGTGGTCATCCAATACAAACCTCCTGAGCCTGCTACCTCCAACCCCTCTATCCAGTGCCTCTGATCTTCCACTAACTTGGCTACCTCCATAGCCTCTCTCAAATCACGAGGCCTCATCACTCTAACTGCCGATCGAATCTCTAATCTAAGCCCTTTCATAAAGTTACCCAGTATAGTTTCTAAAAGTTGGTCTAGTCGACTGGTCAGCTGCTTAAACTGCTCACGATACTCCACCACTGTCCCCTTTTGTGTCAGGGCGAAGAACTGCTCATAGAAGTCTCATATCCTGCTAGTTCATAAGCATTCCAATAAGCAGTCCCTAAACTCCCTCTAGGTCCGTAAGGGTCTTCCACTGGTACCATGTCAACGCTTTCCCCTCCAAACAAATCCTAGCCACCGTCAGACTCTCCTCCTCTGTCAACCTACTGACGGTAAAGCATTTTTCCTTTCTTGTGCATCCTCTCTCTCAAAAATAATCATTTCAACTTCCTCACTCTCGGATCTCCTCCATTCCACATATTTACTCCATAGTTTTCTATCCCTCATCATCACAAATCATCTCTTCTATGCTCATACTCAAACCTTTCGTCAAAATCTCACATTCACCTTTCAAATTCAGCACCCCTTGGATCATAATCAGCCATTCTCATCTTAATTTTAGCACCCCTTCAACCATAATCGGTCCCTCTCCTTTCAAATTCTGCCTGATCATCTCAAATTCAACACACCTTCTTTCATGCTCAACCCCCTCACGCCTCTCCTCATACCCTCTACCTAACTCCTCCCTAGGAAATGGCTCCATGGGAGGCATGCTCTCTTTTCACTCCAAAATCTCAACCTCTTGATCTTTGTTTCGTCTTATCGGATTAGGGTTTTTCCCACTTCGTTGGCACTCGGCGGCATCTCTCTCCTACGACGACGACGTCTTGGATTGACCCTCGAGCAACTTCTTCAACATTTACTACAGGATGAAAAACTTTCCATCGATCTTCATATGGATGGCATAAATTTGACTTATGAAATCTAAAAATAGAGTTTTGAGATGTGAAATTTCAAATTTCAAGTGTTCGATCTCCCCTTCCAACGCTTCTACCTTCCTTCCCGCCATTGGTACCCAGATCAAGGCTCCAAACTGCAAAAATAGTAATTATGATCTTCAAACAACAAAAATGAGCACTTCAGAGGGGAAAACACATCAGAAATTGGCAAAAGAAGGCCTCAATTTCACCCTAAGACACTGCTCTGATACCAATTTGATAGGAAATGGATACAATTTCTTTGAAATCAGTGAACAACAATAAGAAATTAAGAAGAAGAATACATCACAACTATTTTTAATGCAAGATATATGAAAGAAAATAGCATGATACAGTTGGATCTTCAATTGGAGAGGAAGATCCAGCTCTCCCAAATCCCTAGCCGGCGACTAGAGCCCTCACAACCTTAGAAATTCTAATTTCACCAAACTCCAAACATAATCCTGAAATCACCCTATTGTTAGCCTTAAATAAGCTCCCATAATTCCCTCCAAAATCTGAATTCAAATCAATCATCATTCCCAAAATAATTCTCTCCCAAATTTGAATTCAAATCAGCCCTCTATTCCTAAATAAATCTTTCCAATTTACTTCCAATCAAATCAACCCTCTTCCCCTAAATAAACCTTCCTAATTTCCTCTCAATCAAATCAGCCATCATTCCCTAAATAAACTTTCCTAATTCCATCCCAATCAAATTACTCGGACCATCAGATATCTAAGGTTAAAGCTTTATGGTAGAGCATTTAGGGTTGCCTAAATGACCACATGCATGTAATTTAACTTTTCAAGAGAATCCAAGGTTTTTAGGAATCAAGATTGAAAGAAACATGAAATAATTTATGAAGGTATTGCGAGAGGACCAAAATAGAATTATTGCCAAACAATTTTTTTCTTTTTTAAAGAAAAAAATTTACAACCAATTATTGAGAATGTTACATGAGCAAGTGGTCACAAAGAATTGCCAACATAAAAAGAAAACAAATAAATTACATTTATCCAATATAACTTAAAAGCTAAGTGATTAAGATCCACCTAAGCAGAGAGAAACGGGCCCACATTCAGACATTTGCTAAGTTTAAAATGTCAAAGTCAGCATGAGAATTATTGTGACTAGTTTGGCATCTAATTAGCCTAGGAGAATGAGATTTATTTTTTTAATTTTTGCCTCCACAAGAAAATATAAGCTAGCACCTTTTATCCATTAAACCAGGTATAAACATTTAATGTAAGTTCCCCAAACCGCACAAGAGCTAAAAGATAAGCAAAGTAAAAAAACTAATCATCTCTTTACAAAAGAAGAGAGAGAGGAATCACTACTGAAAATGAAACAACAAATACTAAAAATCATGACGCAAACAATGGCCAATAACATAACTATAAAAAAGCTGCTATTTCATTCAAAATACCTCCCTTCTTTTACGTTTAATATGTGATTCTCATATTGAATTTGAGACTCAACCATCATCTTCTTGATCATCTCATTGTGATTAGTTTTTTTTTTTAATCTCGGGGTGATTAGTTTTTATCAATTAATAGCCTAATTAGGGTTTCTATGAATGCGTGAAGGTAAGTCTTAATTAGGAGAGAAATAGTGGTTGATTCTTGCCAAATAGAGAGAAAGATGGTGGATGCTTAGCTTTTTCATGAGATTTGTCTTGATGATTTGGGAATCCTGGATTATTTTGCAATTCATGCAACACCTTGAAATTAGAGCCTTGATAGAAATATGGTAGAGAGAATAATAGGAGAGAGATAATATAAGGAGAAAGAAAATTCATTTGCTTCAACATAAAAGAATATATCCTAATGCAGGCTATCTTTAGTCATTTTATAATAAGCTGACATGAAAAAAAAAATTAAGAAATATAAGTTATCAATATAAGCTATCGGATAAGGAAACCAGGTCAATATCTAAGGTAAGCTATTGGATACAATGTCCTTTTTATGATATTTGTTTCCCATCACTTGTACATGTTAAAAAAAAAAAATTTTTGCCATTTCATTGCGTAAAGCATTTTCTAATTTCTTATTTTTTATATATCGTAATGGACGATTCCATCGTTTAAAATCAAAAAGAAAAGTGACAAAAGTTTTTTCAACTGTAGGAAAACCACCTCTAGATCAATTTTTATTCATGTGGAACTTACAAAACATGGACAATAAACTGTCATTTAGATCAATGGTTTTGATGAACCATGAGTTGCATAACATGATTCTTGCAAAACTTTAGATTAATAATTTATTGTGATTGATCTACTATTTTTATGATTCAATATGTGTTGTTTAAGGATTTAACTATTGTTGGCCCGCAATTTATGACATGATGTAGT